AACTGCGGGGAACCATGCAAAAAACGCATCTTCGCACGGGCAGGCCGTGCGTTGGCCAATTATTTTGTTTTAGAGGGAATGATTGTTAAGGTTTTTTTTTTCCGTTTGGACACAAGACTGTAATAAAAAGGGTGCGAAGAGGAAGGCAGTGCTTATTTGGCACAAAAATTTTGCCTTATTTGACATTTATATCCAAAGTAGTTTGTTTAGAATCCACGGCTGACACCACAGGAACCATCATTTCAATACAGTGGTACAGTTGGCGTAATGGTGGACAAAGGATCTTATGCATGGTATGTGATTATCTTTAGCTTTTTTAATAATCATACGCATGGTGGTTATCTTTATTAATGCAATTAAAAAAAAAAAACCAAGATTTATTCTTTTCAGGGGAAATTTCACAATGGAAAGAGAGGAAGATCGGACGTCATTTCTGGTCAAAGTGCCGACATTTAGGCTAGAATGTACATCAAGTCCGCCAGAGAGAACGGAACGATTGAGCTGATGGCACTCTGTGTGCTGATAGATACACTGCACAACTTATACGTGTACAAAATATACCTGTGATATTTACTGTTTTTTTATATGAAAATTTTATTTTATCAGTTTATTTGATGTTCGTTTACCATCGTTCAGCGTATTGTTACGTTGTCGTTGAACTGTAAATTATTTCCATCTCCTTGCTCACATTTTTAAGTTTTTTTTTTATATCACTGAACAAAACGCGTTAGAACAACCATCGAGGAGTACCTAGGTGCATTGTGAAGAATGAGTTAACGTATGGAAGGTCTCAAACGTTTTCATCACTGCCAGACTTCGTTAAAAATGGATCTGTGGAAAAACGCTGAAGAGGTACTCAGACAAAAAGGAATATTTTATCACGGCATTGTGCCATCCTGTTATGCATGTGTTTTGCAGGTTTTTAATACAGCATATTTCAGAAACGCATAATTATCGCACCGGCTTCTAACGTCCAGATCACTGTTTACAGCTAAGGGATGAAACACAGACTACATTCATACTTGTCTTCCTGCACACATTACTTAAATTGGTCTTTTATCTCCAGCTCCATTATTTGATACCTTTTTTATGCAGCAAAAGCGCATTAGGAAGAAATTTTGTGCATTTACCTGCACGTGGGTAACTGGAGGATGTGTATGTGTCTGTACGGGCACGTGCACTAGATGTTTTCATATGTTTATGTGTGTGGCCGTGCGCGTGTGTGTGTGTGTGAGTGTGTGTGTGTAGGTACTTATGAACATACATGGGTGTCTGCGCGTGTGTGTGTACACGCTGCTGCATGCTGGAGTCTTATTTGCACGGCGTAAGTTTGCAGCGTCTCATCACGAAAACGTGTAATTGTTTGAACATGCTAACTTATCAATGCTTGCCAGTGTGTGTCGTAAAATTTTCGTCGGAATTTCCTACAAATGATTTAGGCTGTTTGCTGTTTTTTGTCGTTAATACGTATGGTACTTAACTGTCAGAGAACTCTAAAGGGTGGAAACAAGTCTCGTCATGGTCCTGCACATTCAGCTAGTGATTTTTTTTAGCCCTGGGGACGAAAATAGTTCTTTGTTCGATAACAAAAAAACCATTCAGAACGAAAAAAAGTCAAGGATTGCCAGTGGATGAATATCTGACTTAGGTGTGTTCCTACAGGAAAGTGTAAGATTCAGTTTCTCCGGAAGAATTTTTCGAAGTCTGCGGTGCCAAATTCTATTTGATTGTGGAATAATTTGGTTAGAGCGGAGCTGAAATCAACAGTCTTTATTATTTTTGTATGTAAGATTACGTATACATCGGATGCGCAGTAGTATCTGGCCAGGATGCGCTAACTGGGCTCGAGATTTTACAGCCTTTGTATCGGGAAAGGACATCAGGATAAGGAATGCAGTGGTTGTATCCAAGAAACCCATTACAATGTGTAATTTGAGGCAAATTTCCCAAAAAAAACCTGCCTACTCTCCACGGAGATTTTGGGGATCATATTCGTGCCTTGCATTTCCAGTGTCTTATAGGGCAAGTACATCCTGACCAAATCATACATCAAGTGTCGCGGGTAGGGCACTGGGATTGCGACAGCGGAACAGACTATCGGGATAGAAGACCGGAACGAACCACCAAAATAAGGGGTCGGCAGGATATTAGATTAAATGAATCACCAGGATATTACACCGAAGTGGACCACCAGAGCACAGGATTAACTTAATGGACCGAAACATCTCATTCTTGCCTACTTTCCTACACTGTTTCTTTCCTTCTGAATTCCTTCGCACCTTCGCCATCCGCACTTCCGGGGTCAACCTGGATGCTGCAATCTGCTTGGCAGAATGCTAAATCGAAGAAAGAGATCAGTGTACGAGATCGAGCTGGACCATCGGGGTTTTGACCAGGACGGGCAACGAGGATGCAAGACCGGGGTAAAATGTCGGGACGACACATTGGAATAAAAATACCGGGATTCATCTCTCAATGATATGAGGATCCTGGAGAAACGAAAATGATATGAACTGAGTGGATGTTAGTATACACGCAAATGGCCAATTGAGCAGAGAGAAAAAAGAAAAACGCACCGAAAAAAAAACTACGCGGAGAAGCGAAGAATGATGGAAGGATTTGGCTGGCTATGTTTGACTGATTTATTCGATAACTTCCAATTTGTGCCACTGCTCGAATTCGTTGCCCGGATTCTGGATACAGTTGGTCCAGTGCTTCTGACGCTCGCCTTTTGCCGAAGTTGATAGCAGCACGCTTCCTAAAAAACGTGTTCTGAACAATTGTACTTGATGTCGCGTGAATTCGACTCGTTCTAGGAAAGCTTGACATATATTTTACAATACTTTTTAAGTTTTATTAATTTTTTATACTATTTGCTTTTTCTTCTTCCAACATTAAAATACTTTCATTATTTCTTGGATGTTTCACTTTGATATCAGAGGTCAATGTCCTTGTTGAACTTGTCATCTGTGGCAATTGTAAGACTGGCCAAGCGGTAGTTTCGGAGCATCAGAACAGAGTGGTCCACAAACTACTAAAGTATGGCATGATCAGGTCCAACAGGGCTGGGCCGCAAAAATGGTGTGAGTTCTTAGTGAATCGGTGTGGGAATAAATTATGGTGAAAAATTAAAGTACGAGAAGAACAAAGACCACGTGGCGTGAAATCGTCTGTCATGTTGTAAAATCATGCAGAAAGAAATGTGTAGGGAAAAATCAACTTGTGGGATTCAAGAGGATGTGATCAAAACGCGGCTCTTTTTCAAGAGGGGCGGGGGGAGGGGAGAAAGGAGGGAGGAGGAGTTCCAGACTTTTGAACCCCTCAGTACTTGCAGAATGCGCTTGTATGTGTGTGTATGTATGTGTATGTGTGTGTATATATATGTGTGTGCATGTGTGTATGCGTATACGTGTGTACGTCTCTAAATGCTTATAGCTTTTATTGCTGGGATCATCAAGTTCACGAATCTAGTATTTGGTACTTAACTGCATCTTCCAAAGACTTCTGGTCAGTCGCATATTCATAATAGCACTACCTAAACTTGACTGTGCACCTCCCGGTTCCAAGTAGTACCTTTTGGCGCGTTACTTCATCCCCCGTATTTCGCAGTTCTGTCGGGCTATGTAAGATATATCTAACACAGAAAAATATTCCACTATATCTGTAGCGATGTGTTTTATATTGTTGTAAGCCAAAAATAGATAGATTAGCACATACACTGAAAATTTCATGAGAACGCCTTAAATTGTTGATATCATCCTTGGAATCGTTCCACGGCCTCGCACGGTATCGGTCATTTTTATGACCATTAGTTTGACATGTGAGTCACTTTCACTCAGTCTTATTGCTTTCCCGGATTCTCTTGACCGGTCAAAATTACCGTTTTCCCTAGTCCATCCCTCAATTCTGCCAGTCATTGGAAACCCACTTACTTTTACAGCTTTTAATTAAGCGCTCGAAAGAGACCCTACCGATATAGTCGTCGTGTTTGCCGACATCCTTGTCGAAAACATCAATTTTTAGCGTCTTTTTCGGCAAATCCTTGAACGGCACCACAAATGCCAGTGTCTGTAAAAAATTGATTTAGGAAAACTAGTCTGTAATCCTGTGTTGTCTGGAATCCATGAAGAATACCTCCCCAAATCCCTAATCTTTCCTTCTCTTTCTTTCCCTAAAATACTGGTTTAAGTCGTGGCTTTAAATTTTTATATATTATTTCAAATATACCAAAACCGCTTGCACTAACAGTGTGGGTATCCGCATATTAGTGATTTCACTGGGATACTCCCACAGCTAGGCAAGGCCGTTCGATCCTAGATTACGTACCTTCAGTGCTTGTTCCATCTCTGTGTACCATTTATCCGAAAGTGCCCGAGTGGTCGTTTACGTTCTCACGATTACCGCTCGCTTAATATTGTTCAAATTTATTGGTAGTATTACTTTTTCCCTATCTGTATTTATGCTGAAAATTTTTGAATGTATGTTTCTTTTATTTTTTACTTTAATTCAATTATATCCACTTACACACTTATACTCACGGTTTATTTGACTAGCTGCACCCCCATAACAATCTTATCCCATTGGCACCGGTAATTTGGAGGTAAGATTATAAACTTTATGTTTTCTTTCTCACTTACTATTTTTTTATTATGCCCTTTTTGCCCTTATAGAAGCTGTTCCCAAACTTTTATTATAATATTCCTATGTCTAACATCTTTTTAGTTATCATAATCGACATACTGACGAGGTCCAGTTATGGATTGACGTAGTGTAGCGACGTAGTGTACCGAAACGTTTCAATTCAGAGCTCCTTTTTCTATTTTTTACTGCATTTGTTACTACTATTTCCTGTTTATTAATATGATTCTTTAGATTAGTTATTACGACTAGACTATGAAGACCAGTTATCATAAATTATAATTTAATAAAGCACACGGATTAGCCTGAATAATAGTACGTACTAGCAGCATCTATTCGCTAGCAAATTTATCGATATTCTCGAGAACTGCTTAGAAACAAGCTAATGGCGATTTTGACTTTACCAGTTTACTATCGCTCGTTACCCCAGCGGAGCTGAACCTTGCACTTAGCACTGTTTGTTAATGTTTGCGTGTTTTAATACAGACTGTAAAGACTAACCTCGAAAAATTCAGGATTTAATGTCCTCTTCTTTGTTGATGTTTTTAGCCTATGTGCTTTATTGGTGAGCGGAAGCAGCGAACTGAAACGAAATTTGCTGAACTGGATGAATAGCATTTTTTTGAAATACTAAAATTTTACTCCTCGAAATTTTTTGGTTTTTTGGAAATTTCTCGAAAAATTAATGCTTTTTGAAATTTAAAAATTTAAAAATATTAAAAAATAGAACGTTTAATTTTTGGACCTCTGGATTTTCAAACAGTAAGGGGATGAGTTTTCTCGTATTTCACTGGTAAAAAAAGCGTTTCTAAGTTTTAAATGTCATTTGTAACTTACACTTTTACGTATGGATCCGAAAAACCTGTTGAGTCCATGCCAAGCAGTTCGACGCAACGCTTGATGGTGACATAAAGGGAGCCTTGTTGCACGTTATACATCAAGCTCATGCAAATCTTCCCACGTTCGTTGCTGATGTCTGGTTTCTCCACCTAAACGTATATATTTTTTTCCGAATTTCGATTAAAAAATTGATCTTTTTAATTAGTAACAGGAGAAGTACCAAATATTACTCAGTCAGGCTTTCAGTCTACATATCCCAGATTAATGACATGGAACAGAAAAGCAGCTAAGTATCAAGCACAAAAGTGAGAAAAAGTGATCACTTTTGACGGTTGTTTCGTTGGTTAATTGATGCTGGCACTTGTTAGGAAGTCAAACCCATGCATCAGCTTATTTCTAAACAACTCTCAGAAAAGGTTGTTGTTCACGCTTACTATCACTTAGTGAAGTAATAATTTAGTCCACTTGTAAACGCTCCCACCTATTGCAGAAAATTATGGAATGGGGTTTGTCTCAGTGAACAGCTCTCGAATATTATGCAAACAAACTATGTGCGAATAAAAAATTTGTAAAAAAATTAGTAATTGGTCCCCAAGAAACTGATTTCTGAAGAGTGACGCATACATATCAAATAAGCGATGGTCACGAATTAACCCAGGCTGGAACGCACCAGGCTTACCGGTGTGATCATACGTTTTTGCACTAAACTCGTAGATCGCCAATAGCAGGAATGATCCCTGTGCTGTAGCCTAATACTTGGGCTCATATGGCCGTGCTTTAGCCTCTTCCGGCATACAGCAGAAAGGACGTCGATTAGGATGAAGGTGTTGCATTATAGGACCGTATAGATCTCCACGTACATGATTACCAGTTTTTCGCATCAAGCCTGGTCGTTTTTATGCGTTTTCACTTATATGCAAATTGCAAAAACGCATATTGCAACGACCTTGTCTGTTTGTGTGTGTGTTCATTCGTCTGTCCGGGTATTTCAAGTCTGCAACCAAGCAAGTTCCGGCGTCAAAATTTTGCTAGTGGATTCCCCAGCCAAGTTTCACCCCAAAACCGCAGTACCAACTCTCACGCACGTCTAGGCCCCGCGTACAAGAGGGTGGAAGTTTTGGCGGGGAAACTGCTAACTCGTGAACGAGAAAAGCTAGAAAGCTGAAATTTTGAGATTATGTTCCCCGTTCACATAGAACTCAAAGATTTCAAATTTAACCCCCGGGTGTGCACAGTTCCCGCCCCACAACTGCACAGTGACATTTTTCCTGTCCACATTAATAGCTTTCACGTGAAAATCAACTTCTAAAATGCATTTCCTCAGTAGTAAATTTATTCAGTATAGTACGGCACTTTGGCGCAGCAATATGTCTCGTGAGGGTTATAGCCTCCTGAAAGTTCCTGACGTGAAAATCGCTAAGTTGGAACCAGGAAAGCCGGGAGGCTGAAATTTTCAGGGACTGTTCCCAGCACATACACAACTTAAAGTTTCAAACCCAGGCCCCAGGCATACGTGGTTCTAACGTACGGCCCGTAAAATTTTTTGGCGGGAAAATGGCTAGCTCGGGAAAAAAGAAAGCTGGGTGACTGATATTTTAAGGGGATGTTCCCAGCCTATGTACAACTTAAGGTTATCAAATTCAGCCCCCAGGAATGCGTAGTTCTCCCATACGGCCCCGTGAAATTTTTTGGGAAGAAAACGGTTAACTCCGGAATCAGGAAAGCTGGAAGGCTGGAATTTTAAAGAGCTCTTCCCAGCCCACATACAACTTAGGGATTTCAAACCAAGCCCCCAGGTATGCCACCAGGAAGTCTTGGCGGGAGAATTGCTAACTCGGGAACCAGGAAGGCAGGAAAGCTGAGGTTTTAGGAGTACTCCCCATCCGAATGCAACTTAAAGGTTTCAAATTCAGCCTCCACTTACGTACGGCTCTCGTGTACCGGCACTTAAATTTTTGACGGGAAAATTACTCATTGAACAGCTGGCTCATTTTCAAATAATTGGCCAACGCACGGGCTGCCCGTGCGAAGATGTGTTCTTTGCATAATTCTCCGCCGTTTTTGTCGCTACCGGCATCGGTTTTTTCGGTAAATGCTTCTAGCTAAACAAATTAAGACTGGCCGCCAGAACTGTCAGAAAACAACCCCTTAAAACGTCAGCTTTCTAGCTTTCCTGGCTCCTGAATTAGCCACTTACTGGGAAAAACTTTCATGGGCCCGTGCGTGTTTACCACGCATACCCGAGAGCTGGGTTTGAGCTGAATGAAACTAAGGTGGACGAGGGATATCCTCTTAAAATTACAATCCTTTAGCTTCTCAGGTACTCGAGCTATCAACTTATCCGAAAAAGATTTTGGCGGGCACGTATATGGGTACCACGCTCACCCGGAGTTTGGGTTTGAGCTCATTAATACCTGCTTGGACGGGAAACATTATCCTAAGACTTCAGCTTTCTAGCTTCTCAGATCCCTGGGTTATGAACTTACCCACTAAGGATGACACACGGGGTAGGAACATATACCCGAAATTTCAGCCTTTCAGCTTTCCTGATTTCTGAGATGAAAGTAAGTGGCAAAATTCACTTGCTTCCGAACACATACACAGACGACTTCTCGACAAATTGCGTTTTTGCTGGCTGCTATAGCGCTGCACAGCAAAAACGCATAAAAATGTGTGGCCCAAGATTGACACAACTGTACCTTGGGTGCTCCAGCACGATCACAAACTCAGGATACCCACACTGATTGCCCGAGAAATTGTATGTTTGGTAAGAAAAAAAGTTACTGCCTTTAGGAGAGATGTGCCGTCTTAAAAAAATCTCACCGGCATTGCATGTTCCAAGCACAAATTGAAAGCTTTTTCGGTGCCAGAAGAAAGTTTCTTAAGTGGAACACGAATTTCGCCCAAAAAATCGGAGCCAATTCGGTCACGATCGAGCACCAGCAACCTTAACGATTTCTTCAAGCGGTCTTCTTCAGAAACACCGTGATAGATAAATTCTTCGTTCCACTGTGGATTCAGTGTCTTCTCGATTGTTTTACTGGTCATTTTTGTTGCCTAAATTCAAAAA